CAGCTTCTGCACGCATTTCCCAGCTCTCGAGACTAAGTTGCTGCCCCGAGGCTACAGGGGGGCCGGCTGCACAGAGTGCGGCAGCGGCTACGCCATGGCTGACACCAGCGTTCTTACCTGAACCATGTCTCAATGTTTTTTACTGGTGAGTAGCAGGGAATACATGAACAGGATGCAGGGACAATCATCCATCGGTTATGTGGGGGCTGCTACCGCGCTCCTTGCCTCAGTTTCCTACGAATTACCAGTAAGAAGATGAAGGGCCTCGGGGATTTGGACAGGTGTTGATCGCCGGCGTCACTACAAGACCCTTGCAGAGTCCTACTGATGCTTAGAGGGAGAGGCAATGTAGGCAATTCCTGAATGATGGGAATACATGTCGGGATTGTGCAGAGGTGGTCATCGGGTACGGTCCTGGGACTATACGTGGAGATGATATTAGGGATCCCCTGTCTAGTTGCCCAGGCACGCGCTGCAGCGACGAACCCCGCATGCAGGCAGGAAGGTGTCCAAGCTTCGTGATTGCCCGCCCGGCAGTTTGGGGGGGCAAATTCTGGCTTGGCAGTGTTTCGAAGTACTTTGACCCTGGAAAGTATGACACGCCCCAAGCATGACATTGCCTTGTGCCGGAATTCTTAATCTTTTGTCTCCCCAGAAGGGACTGCACTGTGAAAAATGTACTTGAAGAGGTTGAGGGTCTGGCTCCTGCCAAGCCAAAGCAGGTGATGCAGTGGGTGGTGCTGCTCACCCAACGCAGCGTAATATTCGCCGTAGCGTGTGCTAGTGTGGTTGGAGCCAATGCGGACGCTCGGAATGCATAGAATGCTGTCCTTGGAACCTGAACAGTGCGCAGCCTGCGCCTAGTGCAGTCCTGCGACCGAGTATTCTGCGAGAGCTGAGGCGAGCAACAGTAAGCAGAGCTCGGTCTACCTGAACCAACTCATGGCGTTCGCAACGATCGCCACTGCGACGCTCAGCTGCACGGCTGTTTGGGCCTTTGCAAGGGCTCATGACCAATCTGAAAGACAGGGACCCCCTCTCAAAGGGTCCTCTTCTCAGCCTGGTGCCTTCCGTTGGGTCCCGTTAAGAGGGACCTCATTCAGAAGTTTATATCCTCGTGGTCTCCCAAATCTCCTGCCCCAGAGAAACCTGGTAACTTTGAAGCATCCGCCCAGGGTGCTGACTGCCGTCTTGCAAACTACGGAAGCACTGGACATGAAGACGACCGCAGCCGCCCGCATGCAATTGAGATTACGGCCGTTAGAATCTGACGCTCAATTGGTTGAGGCCGTCCATGCATGGAAGAGCCAAGGTCAGCTACCTGTTCAACATTGCCGTGACAGCGGCGGAAACTGGCTCTGGCCAAGGATATCCGATCATTGCACACGACATTTCTGCTTTTGGCTTCAGTAGATACACGCTTCCCTAAGATTCCCATGTGTCGCAAGCCACAACAACGTCCCATTGGTCGTGTCCCGGCATTAACTCGCGGTAGTGTCCTGGGCGTCGTGTACCAAAGCAGTGGCAGCTCCGAACACTTGTCACAATTCCTCTGATACTTCAACCCAAACCATGTTGAAAGGTGCGGTGCATGGACAGCGTCTTGTGACCTGCACATGGCCAACCTAGGAATTCATTAATTTTAGCATGGTTAGGGTCCTGCAAGATTCTGTCCCTCATCGAAATCAAGAAGTTTCTTGACATCACGTTGTACCAGTAGCTGTACGGAAATCCTCAGTCATGGTCATGGCTATAGCAAGCCGCGGCAGGATCCTTGAGCTCCACACAGTGCCTTCTGAGCTACATCAATTTCGAGTCTTTGCGGCTTAGCTTGAATAGTTGTAAGCCTAGGTGACGGGACAAAAGAATCCCGTGATTGTTCTACTTGATCAAAGTGAATGTCCCCCCCAACACTGCACTGGAATTGAGAACAGATTTCAGAAGTTTGGTCATCAAGCTCCAAGGAGACCTTTGGGCAGATCAGGTTCATGGACGATTCCTACTTTTGCACCTGCCGTGATCGTTTTGCAGCTCTTAAAGTAAGAGTACAACGCGATGGTTGCCGCCAG